CTCGACGGCTCATCATATGCACGAGGAAATCAACAACAGCAGCCTACCTTTGCTCCGTACGAGCGCGGGTCCATCAGCTTTATGCCACACCCACAGCCTTCACCTGGACAAGAAAAATCACTGGACGCATTACAAGTTCAGTCGCAGTTCGCACACGTCCTGAAGATACAGACGTCAAGACCCTTCGATGGAAAGGACTTCTTCACCTGGTCGTTCGAGTTCGAGCTGATGATGGAAGGCGCGCAGATACTCGGGTTCTTCGACGGGTCTCTGCCATACCCAACAAACGGCACACAGTACGAGAAGCAGCAGTACACCTATCAGTCAATGATGGCGTACACGATCCTACTGAGGAATATCACCCCGACTCAACAGCAGAACATAAGGTCTTACCGAGGTTACGGCAACTCCGCGGAGCTCGCGTACAACCACCTGAAGAGCCTGTATCAAGCAACAGACAGCGTAAGCCAAAGTCGGTTAATGGCGCAACTGACAACGGTTGAAATGAAACCAGGGGAGAAAGGAATGGCATATATCAGTCGATGTCGCGAGTTGCGCGACAAGCTTCTTCGATGCGGAGGGTCGATTTCTGAAGACGCCTTCGTGACAGTCCTCATCGGCGGCCTCGGTCCTCAATGGCGCGCCACAAAGGCCATTCTCCGAGCTCACGGAAGAATCTCCGAAGCAGCGCTCTGCGCCGAAATCCACGCCGAGCAGCAAGACATGGACCTGCAAGAAGAACGACACAAAAAGAAGACATCAGCACCGGAATTCGCGTTCCACACTCAGCGACGCTACAACAACAACAACAACCGGCAGCAACAACCGAAGCCAGTACCTCCGTTCTGCCACATCTGCAAAACTTCAGGACACCCACGTACACACTGCCCGAACCGTCAACAGTCAACAACTCCACAGCGGCAACTTCGACCTTCAAGCAGCCAAATCACCTCAACGCAAGCAAATCCCACGACTCAGATTCAAGCCTCAACGACTTCAACGGGACAACCTGCACAAGGAGCAAGAAACATCGTCAGCTGCATGGCAAAGCTGAGTGACTCCTGCATCACCGAGTCACCACCACACTACTCACCGGAAGAACAACTCGACGAAACCACACCCCGCCGCGAGTCACTTCAGCCGAACCCGACATACGCCGCCATCGCCCAAAGCGAACCATCCGGAAAGGACACATGGTTCTTGGACAGTTGCTGCGGACAGCACATGTGCTCCTCGGGACGCTTCGTTCAACGAGAACACCAACTTCAACGCGAAGTTGTCATTACAGTCGCCAACAATCAGAACCTGCGAACACGACGACAAGGCGTAGTTCAACTTCAGTCAAGGGAAACAAACGTTATACTGCAGATGTCAAAAGTACTAATCGCGGAGGGACTCGGCTACAACTTACTGAGCGTCAGTCAGCTAATGGCGAAAGGGAATCACCTCGAAGCAAACAGCACCACCCAAGAATTCAAGCTGTATCACGGGAGAGGAGGACCTTACATCGGTAAGGCGGTCCTCAAAAACAACGTCTTCGTTCTTGACTTCGTTCCTGATCTTGGCACCGCCGACAGCGACGCCATCGTTAACTTCACCAACTGGACACACCCTCCAGACCTTGATCCAGACTTCAGTCCAGAAGGCTTCTGGTATTCACACACCATCCCTGAAGCAGAAAGAACAAGGGCGTTAGCAACAATTCAGACAACATCGGCAGCAGCAGAGACAACATCGGCAGCAGCAGAGACAACATCGGCAGCAGCAGAGACAACATCGGCAGCATCAGAGACAACATCGGCAGCAGCAGAACCACCAACGGCAGGAGCAGGAACGTCAACACCAATTGCTGGTCCTTCAACGACACCACTCCGCATCGACGACACACCACCGACACCCTCGCAACAATTACACCCAGCACCACGAGAAGTTCATCGCAGCGCCAACTTCACCGCCAACTTCTACTCCAACTCCGATATATACCGACGATCACCCGGACAACGCGCCGACGAAAGCACCTGGCACGCAAGGATGGGACACCCAAGCAACACAGTATTAAACAATACGATAAGAGCAGGAGTACTCGACAAGGACTCACTCCTACTGACCGACGGACGAGAACCTCAACGAGTACGCGGAACGTGCTTCACCTGCCCTGAAGGTGACTTACCACATCGACCGTTTGCGCCTCATCACAACCCGAGCGCACCCGCGTACGCACCACTCGAGAAGGTGTATAGCGACATCCTGTACAATCGGGAACCAGGACAAGTAATATACAACTATACAATCACCTTCATCGACGCCGCCACCCGTTACGTCTGGCACCTAAACCTCCCTAGCCGCGACATGGCATTCGCAGCCCTCGTTGCCTGGCTACCAGTAGCAGAGAGAGAATCGGGCGTGAAACTGAAAAGCTTCCAGTCAGACGGAGGAGGAGAATACACATCTCAGCGATTCAAGCAGTACCTGGCGGAAAGGGGAATCAAGCGGCTCATATCCCTTCCCTACGCCCATCAGCAGCAAGGTGTAGCAGAAAGAATGAACAGGACCTTGCAGAACAGCATGCGCAAACTGTTACGTGGCATGCGGCTACCCAACCACCAGTGGCCTGCGGCAATGGACCACGCCGTCATGCTGCACAACTTGCTCTCGTCATCATCGCTTCCAAACAACGCATCACCGCATCTGCTATGGACAGGGAAACAGGGCAGCACAAAAATGTTACGAGTATTCGGATGCATGGTACAGTACCGACCCCCAGCAGCACGAGCGGGCCGATTTTCTCAACGAGCACAGGGGGACTACACGTGGGAATCGAAAAGAACTACAACGCGTGGAAAATCTTCGACGTCCATTCCAAGGAAACAGTAGCAGCACGTGATGTAATTTTCTACGAACGACTCACGCTCCAGACATACCTTGCCAACCTGCAAGAAGACCAGGATCCCACAGGTGGTTTTCGCGGTGACCGAGCCTTCGCCTCCGCAGCGGACGAAGCTGACTGGGACGAGCAGAATGTGGACAACGCATCAGAAGAAGCCGGACCCCTTCCTTTCTGCTCCGTCGACGTTCCCATGGACGAAGATAACCCTCGCGAAAGTGCCAACGCCGAAACCTTCTACTATTTCGCCGACAACGGTTACGTAACACCTGCGACAGTCAACACCAACGAAGCAGAACGAGTAGGACCCAACTTCATACCTGATCCAGAAGCGGGAGATGAAGCAGCTTATCCCGAGGACGCAAATCTTCCCCGCTACTCACAGAGTGGACTGCAAATTCTCGGACTCGTCACCGCAGTCCACGGCACCGCCATTCCTAAAGAGCCTGCGACAGTTCAACAGGCTCTGGGGGGGGAACATAAGGAAAAATTGCGCGAAGCCATGGACAAAGAGCTGAAGGCACTGGAGGAACGCAACACGTGGAAAGTGGTTCCTATCGGCGTGGCACGGAACAAGACAGTGCTCACCGGGAAATGGGTCTTCCGTGTGAAGACAAAGGCTGACGGCACCATCGACAAATTTAAAGCTCGCTGGGTCGTACGCGGCTTCGACCAAGAACACGGACGCGACTTCACCGAAACTTTCGCTCCGGTTAGCCGCCACACCTCACTACGCATTCTCCTCGCAATCGCCGCCATGAAGAAGAAGAAGCTGCGACAAATTGACGTCGCGAACGCATTCCTCTACGCACCTGTTGATGCAGAAATTTTCGTCGAGCTACCGCACGGCTCCCACAGAGAACCCAACCAAGTCTGCCAGCTACTCAAGTCACTCTACGGCATCAAGCAGGCTCCGCGACTGTGGCAACAGTACCTGCACGCTCGCCTCATCCGCATCGGCTTCAAGCAACTACCGCACGATCAAGGCATGTACCGGCTCACCAAAAACGACGACTACATCCTACTAATCGTCTACGTGGACGATCTCCTCTACATCGGCTCAACTGACGGCATCACCACCTGGTTCGAAGGGGAGCTGCAGCGAGATCTCACGCTCACAGTTTCATCTACCGTCACTCAGTACCTCGGCCTCAACATCCGGGAAGAGGAGGACGCGATCTACCTCAGCGCCGAGAAATATGCCGACACTATCGCCAAACGCTTTACGCTCGCACCGACAGCCATCTCCACGCCATACCGCTACACGGCAGGAAACGACAAAGGAAGCTCCGCTCTACTCAAGCCCGCCGGCATACGAGACTATCAGAAGAAGCTGGGATGTCTTCTCTTCGCAGCCGTCACCTGTCGTCCCGACCTCTCATACTCCGCAAGCCAGCTCGCCACCTACCTTAAGAAGCCTGAAGCAGAACATCTGGCGGAGCTCGACCGCACTCTTCACTACTTCGTCAGCACCCCAACGATCGGCCTAACTTACTACAAGAACGCAACCACACCGACCAAGTTAATCGGCTACGTCGACGCTGATCACGCTGGCGACTCCGACAATAGGCGCTCCCGCACCGGCTACATCTACCGCCTCGAACCTATCGGACCTATCTCTTGGCAGTCGAGCAAGCAGGAATTAATTGCTCTCTCGTCAGCTGAAGCAGAATATATTGCACTCTGCTCAGCCACCAAGGAAGGACTCTATCTTCGCGAGCTGCTGGAAGAAGCGAAGTTAGCCAAGTTACCCAACTTTACCCTGTTCTGCGACAACCAGTCGGCAATTCGCATCGCCAACAAGAACGGCTTCGCGAACAGGACGAAACACATCGCCCTGCGATATTTCTTCGTGAAGGACGAGATCGAGAAGGGAAGGCTCGAGCTGTCATACTGTCCCACGTCCGAGATGGCAGCTGACTACCTGACCAAGAAGCTCGGAAAGCAGAAGTTCGAATACTGCATGCTGCTGACTGGACAGAGCCACGTCCCCAACAGCGACACTCCAGAAGCGAAGGGGAGTGTTGGAAACAATCGAGCTTAAGCGCCTCTGTCGTGCCTCTCCCTTCCTCTCTCCCATCCCATCGACCCTCAGGGCCTGGCGGACATGTCACAGATGGCCGTGCCACAGCTAGCCGCGGGGAAGGGCGCGGCAGCAGGCGGGGCAGTGGGGCTATCAGGGCTGAAGGAACTTGAGTTCATCTCGTCTGCCCTGGAATCATCTGTGCACCACTCAGGTAAGGGTGCGGGTAGGGGCGGTGCTTCTGGTGTGGTTGCTGGTGGTGCTGAGGTGTTGCTGGTAGTTTTTCCACCCGTGTCATCAGTCCTGCTGACAACATCTCCATTTTCTCCTCCTCCACCTCCTCTCCCTCTCCGTGACCTTAATTTTCACGTATCGCTCCCACTCCGTCGGTCCCTCCTCCCTTCCCATCCGTGCCACTGTCTCAGGGAACCTGCCTCTCGATCCTGCCTACACCTCCCAACCCACTCGCCAAGCCTCCTACCAAGCCTCTTACCAAGCCTCGGCAGCAGGTTTGGAGCGGCAAACCTCTGCATCAGCAACGGCACCGGCAGCAGCAGGAATCGCGTCCAGGCACTCGTTTGGAGCAGGAGGGGCGGCAGCAGCAGCAGCAGCCGCAGCTGCGATTGCTACAGTGTCGGGGAGATCTCGAGGGGAAAGTGTACCTGTAATAGTGGTAGGGGCAGGAGCAGGAGTGCATGGGATGGGATCAGAGCGAGGGATGCATGGAGCAGTAGCAGCAGCAGCACATGGGTTACATGCAACAGGAGCAGCAGCAGAAGCAGCTGTGGTTCAGAGCGTGAGAGAGGCCGGGGATGCGGTGTTGAGGCGAGGAGTGGTGATTGAGGAGGTGGGGGATGGAAGGGAGAGATATGGGCGGCCGCTTTCAGCGAGTGAGGTGTCGCCACCTCGTGCTCGTGAAGGAGGACCTGGCGGTTATCCACCAAGGTGCGTCCAACCCTTACTGCTTTTCTATTTGTATGAAGTTTGTCCTTGTGTTGCTGCAGATAACGATGCCAGCTCTTACCAGTACTGGTTTGGTCTAGCCCCTCTTGTGGTTTATTCCAAATTCCACCTTTCTGACTTCCCCTGGCATGCACTTCTCTTGTTTCAGGAAGCTGAGGCATGCTCGATTTGGGGACTGAAGAAGAGTGCTTACCGTATTAGCATACATGGCCACGATTGGCATGAGCAATTCGTACATACCCGGAATCTTGAACAAGACCGGTACATGAGATGCAGGGTGAAATGCTGCACCACAACACGTTTCATGAACTTACTGCTGGGCCTTTCATGTGCTATTCCTACACCACAAAATTCTTGTGGAAGGGGCATTGTTTATGAGATCCAGCTGATGTTGCTTGCATATTGCATCGAGGCACCAGCGAGTCAACCCTCGGAGGTTGAAGTAACTGCTGGAGGTTACACGAAAGTCAAAAGTCAGCGACCTTTGTCCTGACAAGTACAGCGCGACAGCAAGGACACACAACTGACTCGCTACAGAGCAGTTGCCCGAGTCGTCACTGTATCGAACCGCAACAGCAACAGTAAAGTAGTTAAAACTGTATCTCTTCACATTCCTTGTACTCTTATATAAAAGCTTGTATCTCTTTGTTTTAATCAACTTACTTTGCCCTCACATACTAGCGCAAGGTGGTTCACAACTCTTTAATTAACGCTTCCGCTACTACACCAACTCTACCCAGAGTTCACCCCTGCAAAGATCCTAAGGGCTTTTTCAGCCTAACAAACCGTCCCAAATGCAAGATAACCCAAGCATTTTTGCCCGTGTACGAGATAAGACATATGTCTTATATCCGGGCGATGACGGTATTACATTGTTCCTACCCTGAATTTAGTCCTGCAAAGATCCTAAGGGCTTAATCAGCCCAACACATTTCACACACCCACACACACAAGCACAAAAACACAAGTGCACACACCACCCTCAAAAAGGAAGAAGAAGTATTTAAAGAGATATCTACGAGGGTGGAAAAGTGTAGAACAAACAAGAGACAAAGAGCAGACCCCTTCATCAAGCTGGTCTAACTTCATCAATCTAACTGCAGACTCAAACTGCCGTTTTGTCTTCAAAAGCAGCATCACTTCATTTTAACGAATTAGATTGCTGGTCTTTATAAGTATTCCACAAGTGTAGTGATTAGCGGACACACATGAAAGACAGCAGCAAGCCAGCTGATGTGGGTCTGTTGAGAGGCACACAAAGAAAGAAACGGGTACATGCAGGGAGCGAACGCACATGAGGAGAAGTGGGTGTGCATGGCAATGGTATTGAGTGGCTTCTCAGCATGGCATGAGAGTGGCTTCAAGAATCAATAACGATTTTGAAGCAGGGCAGGAATGAGACAAATACATGGAAAACACCAGATCGGATCGGGTCGGGTTGGGTTGGGTGTAATGACTTACGAGACACCCTCTGCATCGATGCTGGTGAGTGAGAGGGCAGGCAGCTGAGCCACCAGCGTAACGCAGTTGGCATAGCGATACACGTTGACAAACCGGCAGTGCCCCGCTCCTCCCGGTGCCCGGTCCACCCGCCAGTACGACCGGACGTTGCGAGCGATTGTCAAAGGCAGGTTGGTGCATCCGGAGTATCTCACACGCATGGTGAAGGTGGAGGGCGTCAAGGCATATTCCGGCTGGTTGTAGAAGGTGAGACTCGCAGAGGAGACGGTTGGGGGGGCTCCTGGAGGGGAGGGGGTTGCGGGTGGAGATAGTAATAAGGCAGGTTGGTGCATCCGACGTGGTTCACACGCATGGTGAAGGTGTAGGGCGTCAAGGCATATCCAGGCTGGTTATACAAGGTGAGACTCGCTGAGGAGATGGTTGGGAGGGCGCCTGAAAGACAAACAGAAAAAGGGAGAACAGAAGATCAGGGTATGGGGTGTGGCATGGGGTATGGGGTGCGGCATGGGGTATGGGGTGCGGCATGGGGTATGGGGTGCGGCATGGGGTACGGGGTGCGGCATGGGTATGGGGTGCGGCATGGGGTATGTGGTGCGGCATGGGGTATGTGGTGCGGCATGGGGTATGTGGTGCGGCATGGGGAACGGGGTGCGGCATGGGGAATGGGGTGCGGCATGGGGTATGGGGTGCGGCATGGGGAACGGGGTGCAGCATGGGGAATGGGGTACAACATGGGGAATGGGGTGCGGCATGGGGAATGGGGTGCGGCATGGGGAATGGGGTGCGGCATGGGGAATGGGGTGCGGCATGGGGAATGGGGTGCGGCATGGGGTATGGGGTGCGGCATGGGGAATGGGGTGCGGCATGGGGAATGGGGTGCGGCATGGGGAATGGGGTGCGGCATTGGGGCACCTGAAAGACGAACAGAAAGTGGGAGAACAGAAAATCAGGGTATGGGGTTTGGCACGGGGTATGGGTTTAGGGGGGTATAGGTTTGACATGGATGTATGCACCATTGATAAATAAACCTGGCTTAACCAGCACCTTGATTATCCAGAAACGCAAAAACATTTGTAATAATTGAATGCAAGCATAATGGCCTTACCACGACGCAACAAGTGGCGGTCATGCGAAAGCCAGAAGGGCAGACGCAGTAAGGTGAGGTAAGGTTGGTTTTGAGGCGTCGCACATGACCTACCACGTGACTGACTTGACGTGACTTATTCCACGTGACTTATTCCACGTGACTTACCACTGACGCAACCAGTGTCGGTCATGCCAAAGCCAGAAGGGCAGGTGCAGTAAGGAGCCTTTCTGGTGGACGAAACCAGCGTGCATGTGGCCAGGGACGGGCAGTTGCCACACGTGGTCGGCCCTGGTGAGCGCGGGGGGGGGGGGGGGAGAAATAATGGGAATATGTCAGTGCGATAGGAGAGAAGGAAGAATAGAAGGGGAGAAGCTTAGAGCTTGGGCTGGGCTGGGCAAAGAGGGGAGAAGGGGAGCAGTTTAAAATAGATGGCAGCATGCACGCAACAAAGCATATGACAGCACAATGAGCATGATGCATAGTGTGATAGAGAGGCATGTAACAGCACGGAAATACAGTGGGGGCAGAATAAGATGAGAGCATGCAATCATAGTAGTGTGCACGGGCGAAACGATGCAAAGGAGGAAGCAAGGAAGGAATGAGAGTGGACGCAGGTGGTGTGGGGGGGAGGCAGGCGGAGGTTGTAATCCATCCAAGGGTATCAAAACAACATAACGTACCAACACAAGTGCCGTAGAGCGGCGCGTGGCCTGGCTTGCACACACAGTCCGCCGTGCCGTCTTCCAACTTCCTACAAGTTTTGGGCTTCTCACACCACTTAAGGATGCAATTATCTGGGGAGGAGAAAAGGAACAAGGGCCTTGAGGGAGAGCGTGAGCGAGAAAGGAAACAAGGATGATGAGAGAGAATAGGGGCAGAGAGAGAGAGCACAAGAGAGGACGGGCACAAGGAAGAGCACGTGCGAGAGAAGAAGAGGTAGAGGGAGAGGAAGAGGGAGAGGAAGAGGGAGAGGAAGAGGGAGAGGAAGAGGGAGAGGAAGAGGGAACGGGGAAGAGGGAGAGAGGAAGAGCACACACAAAGAACACTGAACCCACAGCAGCAACACACAGAAGAACGCAAGAGCACACCTCAACACACAGCAAGGCACAGCATCCTTACCCATGCACGTGTTTTGAGACGTCTCAAAACAACGCACAGCAAGGCACAGCGCGGCAGAGCAAGGCACAGCGCGGCACAGCGCGGCACAGCAAGGCACAGCGCGGCACAGCGAGGCACAGCGCGGCACAGCGCGGCACAGCGAGGCACAGCGTCCTTACCCGTGCACGTCCTGCCGTCATCTTGCAGCGTGAAGCCAATGTCACACACACACGACGCCATCCCCGCCTCATCCTTCACACAGCGGCCGTTCTTACCGCATGCCTGCAGTTTGCACGCGTCTGCCAGGAGAGGGGAGTCACAGGGACAATAAACGCGAAGTTTTAGGAAATGAAGGAACAATTAAGTAAAAGCAAATGGAATTTGAAAGCGCATTTTACCAGTACAGCACGCAATGATGGTAGCACACGACAGCCTTACCTGGCCACTCCACATGCCGCCACCACTCTGTAACAAATAAAGCGCATCGACATTGTCACACATTCCAGCACAGCACTGATCAACACAGCCGCTTTTGGTCATGGCATAACCCATGTCGCGTTGGGGCCGAAGTTGCGTACCGTGCATGGGTCTGCAGGCAGACACGTGGGGGCGGCGACAACACAATCGGCCCGGCCAGAAACCAAAACGCCATTTGCAGGAACCACAGCTGCGAGCTGAAATGCAGATAACAAATAAATCACGCCATGATAAGCATGCAGCGGAGTGGAGTGGAGCAATCCTGCATGCGAATGGAATCATTCTGACAGCACTAGCACCCACCAACGCAGTTGCCCATATCATCACATGCACAGCACAAGCGGCCAGAAACCATAACGCCATATGAAGAAGCTGTGAGGTGAAATGCAGATACCAAATTACGCCATGATAAGCCATGCTAGGCTGCAGCAGAGTGGAGTGGAGTGGAGGAGGAGCAATCATGTTGCATGCAGATGCAACCTCTCTATTCTGACAACACCAGCACCCACCAACGCAGTTGCCCTCGGCGTCCTTCTCTTGGCCCCGCGGGCAGCGGCAGTTACTAGCAGCAGGTGGCAGGACGACGGCTGGAGCCCTGGGCGCCTTCTCTGCGAGACACAACACAACGGGGGGCAGGGAGGGAGGAGGGGGCTTTTGAGTCGGCTCCAAAGCACCCACCAGCGGCGGTTGCTCGCAGCAGGTGGCAGGACGATGGCAGCAGGCCTGGGCGCATTCTCTGCGAGACACAACTCAACACAACGGGGGGCAGGGAGGCAGGCGGTGCGTTTGAGTCGCCTCAAAAGCAGACGGCAGCAGCCCTTAGACATTCTCTGCGAGACACAATGGGGGCCAGGGAGTGCAGGTGAAGTTGGAAGCATGTATGTGCTGTGCAGGCATACATGCAGGCATACATGCAGGCATACATGCAGGCATACATGCAGGCATACATGCAGGCATACATGCAGGCATACATGCAGGCATACATGCAGGCATACATGCAGGCATACATGCAGGCATACATGCAGGCATGCATGCAGGCATACATGCAGGCATGCA